TGTGTGTGTGTGTGTGTGTGTGTGTGTGTCAACGCTCTCAGTTGACCTGCCTGTGAAGAGCAAGTGGGATGGGTAGTCCTAGATGGGAATAGGTGCTCTGCCAGGTACTGAGGTCTCAACCCATTCCGGGCTTTATAGGTCAGAAACATTACCTTGAAGCTGATACAGAAAGCAGACAGGTAACCAATGCAAGGAGGCCAGTGTTGAGAAGATTGGATGGTACTTATTTATTCCCTTCACTAATCTGGTTGCTATATTCTGGACCTGTTGGAGCTTCTGTATCAGTCTCAAGGGAAGCCCCACATAGAGTGCGTTGCAGTAATCTATTCTTGAGATTACCAGAGCATAGACCAGGTGTCAAGGTAGGGGCTCTGCCTCCTTGGGCAATCTGCTTCTGGTGGTCATAGAATAGACAGACCGGACCACAGACACTATATGAGAGTCCATAGTGCAGAGTCCGGGAGGATGCTCAAACTGCGGACCTCATCCTTAGCAAAGAGAGTGGCTCCCTCAAAAGGGAGGGAGGTCCCCAATCGGCACACAACATGAAACCCCACCCAAAGGACCTCCATCTTGTCTGGGTTCAATTTCATCCTGTTAGCCCTCATCCATCCCAGGACCATCTCCAGGCAGTGCTCAAGAGATAGGACAGGATCCACTGTAGAAGGATGGAAAGGGAGATAGAGTTAGGTATGGTCTGCAAATTGGTGAAACTCCAAATCTCTGGATGACTTTTCCCAGCAGTCTCATACAGGTGTTAAACAGTTGGGGGAAACCTATTGATTCTTGGGGGACTCCACAATTTAGGAAGAAGAGAGCCTCTCATGCAGCTCTACTCTCTGGGAACAGTGCTTGAGGAAGGACCGGAGCCAGGCCTCCAATCCCCAGCCCCAAGAACATTCTCCAGGAGGATACCATGGTCGACAATATCGAAGGCCACTGAGAGATTGAGGAGGACCAGTAGGGATGCATTGCCCCCATCAGCCTCCCTCAAAAGGAATATGAAAGTTGTAAGAAGAAAGGTATCCTTTCATGCACTAACAATACAGAGATCATGACTTCTATGTCCATACTGAATGAACTTCTGCTATGAATAGGGACAGAGAGCTGCCCTTTGTGTGCTGAGTATAAAGAGGTGCAGAAGAGGCCCAGCAAAATTGTTAGAGGTTTGAAGCAACTTATAAGGAAAAGTTACATCTGTAGGATGAAGATTAGTTTAGAAAATGGCAGATAGAGGTGGGGAGAATTTGATTAAAGTATATAAAATCACAAAGAAAATACATAGAGAGACATTTTATTCTCTCACACATAACACAGGAACCAATGACATGGGAAGGCTGATTGATGAGAAAGGCAGGGATGCATAGGCAGCTCACAACCAGGTAGAATTTTACCTATTACCTTATCCACAAGTGTACCATCCAATCTTGTACTTGACTCACCAGACCATAATAATTCTAAATGAAAAGAACTGATTATCACAATGCAGGTGTCTATTTTTGTCTATTTTTAACTTTGTATTAATTTGTGCTAATTTCACCTCACAGTGCCACAGGTTTGTGTGTGTTGGTGTCAACCCAAACTCCTTAGCCAACCTTTTGGGAAAATTATTTTTTCCCTTTCCCTCGCAAGCTATCTTTGTTTTTGTTTTCATTCTGACCTCTTCTTTCTGAATTCTTGTTTCGCCTGTTTCAAAATCTCATAGCATGAATTTCATGACTGTTCTCAGGTATCATTTTGCTGGTAATGAACTAGCTGTGCTGCTCAACAGAGTTGTCACCATTAGAGGATAGTGTGGTGGACAATGGACTTAGCATTCTGAAAGTAATCTCTCTCCACATACCTTCCATCGTGTTTGTGATTATGCTAGCTATACTCATGGCTCTATCTCTCAGAGTAGGATCTTCCAGAAAATCCATGGAAACATGGAAAGAGCTCGATCTTCTTTTTTTCATTTCTGTCTCTGTAGTTGTGGCCTACAAAAAAGAGAGAGAGTGAAATATAAGATTATTCTGTAAATAGCAGTTGACTGTAATGCCATACATGAAGACTGTCCAGATCTGAAGGCATACATGCGTCATGCTTTTATGCTTAGTTATTCATGCCAAATGTTTTGCTATTTGTTGTATTATTAACCTGGCATTTTTAAAAACTCTTACAGGATTTGTAAGAAACATGCTGTCCTCATCACAATGACCTTATTTTTATACATCCCAAATGGCTCTCAGGTAATGTCCCATGATTGTTTGAGGCTTGTTGGTTTATTCAAAACGGCTTTGTTTTTCCTCAGTGGCTTTGCAAAATCTCAGTTCTCCATACTTTTAGACCTGTACAACTGAAATCAATCAGATTTACTTCCAAATAAAGATGTACAGGACTGCAGCCTTGGAGAGCATGCTGGACTTTACCAATTGTCAAATATCACCACCACCACCACCACCACCTCTACCACCACACCAGACTTGGGATCTTTGCTTTGTTCGGTAACATCATTCCTTTTTAAAGAGTACAGCTTGTGGGAAAAGAAGCAAATTGGAATTGATCAGTCAGCAGCTGTAACCCTAAAACCATTCACTTGCAAGCAGGTCCCACACATAAGATTACAGCATAAATTCCAGGTTATAAATTTAAAAAACTGAAGGATGAGAGAAAAAAATGGCATGTTCATGTTACTTGTTCATCTGTTTTTAAAATGGAAAGCAAGCTTTTCATTCAACCTTAAGGAGAAGAAAAGGGGGAGAAATCCAGCATTGTCATGCTTTTCCAAATCACCACAGGGAGGAATATATTTCAGTTTAGGAATATATTTTAAGAATGTTAGCTAGGAAATATAGTGTATGTATGTAGCAGTACACATGACCACATATATTTGTTATCAGAAATATTTGTGTATCAATGTGGTATCTCAATTATATTAATTTGTCAGCCAAAGATGATTGAAAAATTGGGTTGAAAGATGCATGAAAATGCTAAATAAATATACATAAAATGAAATTTTGGAGTGATTTTACCAATGTTTGGGGAACCAGAACTTCTAGCCACGTTGTTTGTATGTTGTAATGATGTTCACGAGACAGAATGTAATCAAATTTGTCTACAACCAAGGCAGTATCAGAATCCATATGGTATCAAATGTTATAACTTCCTCTAGTTGTGGAGTAAGATAATATGTTATTGGATCTGACCAAATAGCAATTAACTCACGGCCAGATAAAGTAAGATCCAGCAAGGTTTTCTGAATATAAAACACACAAAACAATATAATTTGTACATTCTCCAGATAGTTTTTCACTGATTGCTTTTGCAAATGTTATACTTGAAACTAGATTTTGTTAGTATAGAAAAGATATTACACGATGCAGGAGCATTCACAGCTTGACCAACCAAGGATCATTCCCAAGGGATTCCATTCTGTAGACACACTGGCTGGTGCATTAAGAAAAGGCCACCATGCCTGAACTATTTAAAACTTCCTTACATTGTCATCAGTAGCTGGTTTATCTATTATCACCTCTGGCAGAAGCTGTCCAACAGGCGATGTAGGAACAGATGGTCCACCAACCAAGGAAACCACCCCATTGCAATCCACCGTGCTGTGCATCTTCCCATTCACTGGAAACACTGCCAGCATCCTGGATGACCTACTGGCCTGACTAATGTTACTGTTGCGCCGTTCACCATGTCTGCGCGGCACAAAAAGGGAATCTCTTCTGCTATCATTATCTTCAAATGTGCTGTGCTCATCATCAGCAAAGTCATTCTCTGATCCTATATCCTTTGCTCTACCTCTGAAGCTGAAAAGGCTTGTTCTGCTGTTGCGCCTTGGGGAAAACAGGGAGCCACGCATGCTCAGCAAAGACTGCAAGGAAATACAGAAAAAGACAGTGATTATCTAAAATCTCACAGCCTCTACTGCGATATGTCAACAACAAAGAATGTCTGTACCCCCCTAAACTATCTTACTTATTTTCTCCTAAAACAGACAATTAGGGATATATATCTACACACACACACCTATATGTATGCAACAAATGAATGCAATATACAGTATGTATATTGCATTCATTTGTTGCAATTAACTGAAAACTGTTATAGTAAAAGAGGCAGTTGATTATATTAGGGGCTTACTTAAAATCAGGGATTATAAGGTACTGCAGCTTTTGTTCCCTAAGTAGGCATGTCAGGATCAGATCAAGAAGAAGCACATCGAAATACATAGAAAGAATTAAGTTCTAATGGATTTTAAAAACTCTGTAGAACTTTGCCATGTACTCCTTCCTCATAACTAACTCCATTCTCTCAGATGCTCATCCTGGCTTTGAGAAAAACATTTGCTCATATACCATCTATTCTGAGCCCAGTCACTTGTTTGTTTTGTAAAAAAAAAAAGCAACCCACAAATCTCCTCTAATAAGATCACACAGCCCAGGGTAAGGCCTGCAGTCTGGCTGTAGCTTTGCACAACATTGTTTGCCCTCCCACCCGGAATAACCACGCAAGACCAAGTTTGTGGGTAAATCACGGGCCACGCTTTATTTGGAATCTATTCCGTTTTCATAAACATTGCCCCTCCTGGCAAAAAGGGGGGTCCTGCTGTAGTGCGGATTCAGGTTAGTTGTTGATCATCAAATGACCATTTACCAGCCAGCCGGCTGTGCTCCGGCCTCAGTCATCCCTTTCTTCCTTAAAATGGCATCACTATCGGCCTCCATTTTCCCGGACCCTCTTTCACTCTCTCTGTGCCGACCTTGGGTCCGGGAGCATCCCCAGCACATCCCAGCTTGCCAGCACTGAGATCACCTGATTGGCAGTGCTGCGAGCTGAGACGCGCTCCCTTTTCCGTCATTAACCTATCATCCAAGTTCGAATACCACTCGAATCCGCACTACCCGCCCTTGCGTGACCAAATTCAATGCCCTTACTAAAACTAATCCAAATTAGTGCAGGATAGGCGAAAAATCCCCGCCTCCACCTGCCAATCAGGAGGCGGGTCAAAAATTCCTATCCGGCCCCCAGCAAAGGGGGACCAGCTAATCTCGCACTAGCTTATAGGGCGGGCGGGTGGGATGCCACTCACAACAACAAAAGGGGAGCTACCAACGTGGCTGCCCCCTTAAATATGCCCTGCTCAGCCCACACCCCTCGGCTGATCTCGGGCAAGTCCTGTAGCCTCGCGTGGCATCCGGGAAGGTTGGCAAAGGCAACGCCTCCTGGGGGATCCCTTTGGGCCCCCTCCCGGTGTTAGCAATTGGTTTACTTTCATAAGTCTGTAAGCAGTCTACCTGGTGGGGCGAAGAGTGCTTCCGTTCTAGAGTTAGCCTATTCCCTTCAATAGAGAATCGGCAACCTCTCCTCCTGATGCTATCTTCTGATTCAGATCTGTGAAACTCATCTTCATCTTTTTCTTCTCCTCCAGATTGTTCTTTCTGTTTCCTTTTCTTCCTTCGATTTCTCCGCTCTTTTGCACTTTTTGAACTCAACTTTGATGCTTCCGAAGAACTTTCAGAGAGCCTCCCCACTCCTCCTCCTCCTCCTCCGCTGGGTTCTTTGGACTCAGCCGAAGCTGTCGCAGCTGCCTCTGCAGCCTGCTATAAGGCATCACAAATTGGTTTCATTTTAGTGGCTTCATAGAAAGAACTTAGACACCTAAAAAGTCCATAACAACAAGAATCCTGGGGTGATGGAACTAAATTCAAATTTCTAGAAATCACATACTGTATCTCAGATTTATTTGCCATGAAATCTGTCCTTCGCCTTGACATCTACCCTTCTACATAGCAGTATTTTGGTTTTATTGATTTATTTCCCTGATGAAAACATGCACTTTGCCTCTCCACCTGAGGCCGCCATGGTAGATAACCATATAAGTAAAGATAAACATTGATAGTATTAAGCTTAATACAGGAAATACAGTGGCACAAAAAGAGACAGGGACAGAATGGTGGAAAAAACAACAAAAAAGACAGGTTACTCACCTGTAACTGTGGTTCTTCAAGTGGTCTTCTATGTATTCTCACCATTGCATTCTGTACCTGTGAAAACCCTCTCCACAGAATTTTCCAGAGCTTGCACTTCAAGGCCTATTTTCCTTGTTTTTACTGCACATGTTCCACCCATTTACCTCAGTCCCCATATGTCTACCACAAAAGTATATTGCATTAGGCAGGACAAAAGTGGGGATATGGGTGGGTTGTATAAACACATAGATGACCACAGTTAGAGGTAAGCAACCCATCCTTCTTCATTGTGGTCTCTACGATTCACACAACTGGGTGACTAGAGAGCTCAGTTATTAGAGGTGGGCTGTCACACCAGAATGGAAGACAGGACTGCTCTACCACATGAACTATCTCTCTGAGCTCTCAAATCGAGTCTATAATTACAGTATTTACAAAGGTTAGAGATCATGTTGCTGCCATACAGATGTTTGGTATGTTAATACATCTCATGAAGGCTGTAGAAACCATTGAGCTGGTTGAATGATCTTTGATATTTAATGGCAAATTTATTTTGGCAATGTCATAAGCCAATCTTTAGGACCTTGACAGCATACAAGGAGTCTGCATGTTTTTCTAAATTTCTTTGTTCTCAATAAATGAAAGGCTAGAACCCTCTTCCCATATAAGCTAAGCAACATCTTTCTAATTCATTCTGTGGTTTTGCATTAAAAAGTTGGCAATATCAGTGGCTGAGACATACGAAATGAAGATGCTATCTTTGGGAGGGAAAATAAGAAGGATCACACCTCAATGCACAAATTTCATTTGCTCTTCCTGCAGAAGTAACAGCAATTAAAAATGCTGTTTAGGAAGTCATAAGCCTGAGATCTGCTGTTGCCATAAGCTCAAAAGGATTTTCTGTGAACTGAGTCAGCATCGAGGACAAAGACTGGTGCTGGAAGTGGTTTTATGTTGGTGCAAGTTTTCTTTAATCCTTTAAAAAATATTTAGAATTGAATTTTTAAATAACTGTGATGATGGGTGATTTTCAGGTCAATGTGCGAAGGTTGCAGTTAAGCAGACTTTTAAATATGAAAGTCACCATCCTTAACTGCTTCAAATGGAGGAGAAACTTAAAAGCAGTTTGTAGATTGTGAGTGCATATCCTGGGGAATTCTTCACCCACTAAGAATACATTCTGCATTTCCTGTTGTAAGAAGTGAGCACCTCTATTTTTTGGCACTCCTCATCTCTTTACAAGTACTGCAAAAACTTGCTGAGAAAACTTCCCTCTTGTGTGTCTGTATTAATGTTCTGCTCAATGAGTCTGCTTTCTGATTGTTGTCACCAGGGATGTGAATAGCTGTTGGGAAAATATAATTCAGAATGCACCATTCCCACAAAAGTGTTCAGATGTAGGGAAGATTCATTAGTTTTGTTCCTCCTTGCTTGTTTACATAGTACATGGTTGTTATGTTATCCATTCCTATCTGGACAGCTACCATGTTTCCCTGAAAATAAGACAGGGTCTTATATTAATTTTTGCTCCAAAAATGCATTAGGGCTTATTTTCAGGAGATATTTTATTTTTTTCATGTACAACAATCTATGTTTATTCAGATACAGTCACGTCATCCTCTTCTGGTTGCTGTACAATGGTGGAGGGTGGGGTCTCACTTAACTAGGTCTTATTTGGGGGGTATGGCTTATATTACGAGAATCCTAAAAAATCATACTAGGGGTTATTATCAAGTTCGGTCTTACTTTTGGGAAAACAGGGTATCATGTTTTTGAATTGTCTTATTGCTTTGAATATTGGAAGAAGTTACAGAAAATGGATGTGACGTTCCTTCTCCTGAGGTGTCCACATCACATAGACCTCTCTCTTTTGGCAATGTGCTCCCCATCTGGTTTCCCTTGCCTCTGTTACTATTAGAATTGATGGCTTTAACTGATGAAAGGCCACAATTACATTGACAATAAGAATCGCTGTTGAATCAGGTTTTGCGTAATTAAAACCAATTTTTAAAACCCTGACTACATAAAGCACAGCAAAGCCCACTTCTTTTTCTTACCTCAAACCAAGTGTTTTTATTAAAAAGAAGCCAGCGGGGCAATGTGAATGCCCCTGTCACATTAAATACTGCTTTTGTGGGTGGTCATGTATGTCCAAAAATATTTAAACAGATTTGACTATATTTCAATGTCATTTTAGGAAATCCTTTACAGATAGCACAGTGTTTTTCACTAGCTGACATTTCCTTACACAAAATAAACACCAGTTATGTCCATCTGCTTGAGGAATTTTAGTACCACAGCCAAAAACAGTACTTCATTAAGACTGCTGAGGCTATAAACCGTAGCAATTCAACTGTTAGATGACAAGGGGGGGGGGGGGGAGGAGAAAACAGGAAAGACATTTTAACTCTTTTTTTTAAAGGTAATAAGAATGAAAGGAAAGGTGATAAAGGCTATTTTGTACATAGACTTGTAAAGGACTATTTACAAAAGATTATGTCATTTTTTGAGTTCTGGAGCAAACCGAGGTTCTTATTCCTGTGGCGGACAAAAATAGGACTGAGGTAAATGGGTGGAGCATGTACCATAAAAATAAGAGAAAAAGCCTTGAGGCTAAAGCACTGGGAAGTTTCACAGAGAGTGTTCACACAGGCGGAGAACCCAATCATTTGAATCATACAGACCACGATGAAGAATGGAGACACAGAGCTTGAGAACATTTGCTGAAGGACATGGTCTCTTTAAAAGGTCCCAAAGGTGCACTAATAAGGGTGCCAACTAGATCTTCAGGGACATCGTATTCCCCAGCTCTGTGCCTATGAAGAGTCTACCTACTTTAACTCAATATCTGGCAGAGTGCCTCCTCCCACCCAGTTCTGCCAGAATCACTTGTTCCAGCCAGGCCGGCCGGCTGAGGGGCCTAACGCCAAGGGAGGTCCAGAAGGAAAGAACAAGGAACCGGGCCTTCTTGGCAGCGGCCCCTTGCCTCTGGAACAACCTGTCCGTGGAGATCTGCCTGGCTCCCTCTCTGGGTGTCTTCAGAAGAAAAGTCAGTACCTGGCTATTTAGGCAGGCTTTCCCTCCTGCTGTATCTTAATATTTACATTTTCACATCTTGGATTTTTGCATGTTTATTGGTTCAATTGTTTCTAGATGGGCTAATGCCGCCCAGAGTAGACCATTCATCTAGATGGGCAGGGTATAAATCTAATAAAATAATATAAATAAAGAAAAATAACCTCAGCCATATTGTGGATCTGTCCTTTAATGCAGATTTCTGAACTGAGGAAAGTTCAGAAATCTGAAGACCTTGGTATCAGCTCCCAACCCCTGTTGGTGCCTCCCTTCCTCCAATGAATGTATCAAGAGCGGTGAGGAGTGGCATTAACAGGGAGGGGCATGCAGGATCATTTCCAGAAAATGGCAGCTGCAGCGGCACTGATAGGAGAACCGAGTGGCTGCAGTGCAGGCAATGAGGAGGCAGGCACCATTTCAATCCCCCTCCTTATGCCATGTCACTATGAAGCGATGCTACGTTGGGGGAACTGGGGAATAATTAAAGCTGAATCTTGGGAAAGTTACCTTCGTTTGACTACTCCTCTCCCATCTGTAAGGTGTCTAAATAGGTGACTGGGTAAAACAAAGGAATACCCAGGCTGTTTTCTCTTCACAAGACCTTGTGGGCAACTAGTTGACATGAGGATTACAACTTTGAGGGATGGCAACTATCTGTTATCTTCCATTGATCTGATACATTCAATCATAGCCATAGTCATAAAGCTATGCTAAAACTAAGTTTAGTCATTGCCACATCAGACAGATACCTGAGCTGCTTCTTGTTGTTTTTTCAGCTGCTCCAGCATCTGCTGAAACTCGGCCTCTTTCTGTTCAGCTTCTTCCATGGTGGCTTGATTCTGCTCTTCGTAGGCCATGGCGACAACAGCCAAGATCAAGTTGATCAGGTAGAAGGAGCCCAGGAAAATCACCAGAACAAAAAAGATCATGTATGTTTTGCCAGCAGCACGCAGAGTCTAGAGGAAATAATAGTTTATTTAAAAAATTTAATGCAATGTGTGAGAGCCCCAACACACTGTAATGTGATTATTGTACAACATTGCTGTATTTGTGTTTAGGTTATTTTGTTGTGATACCAGTATATTTAAGATTATGGTATCCAAACTATTCTCTCTCACCAGCTGATAAAGATTCTCCCAGAAGTCCTGAGTCATCAATCGAAAGAGGGACAAAAAAGCCCAGCTGAAGGTGTCAAAACTTGTATAACCATAGTTTGGGTTCCTACCAGCTTTTATACACACATAACCTTCTGGACATTGACTAAAAGAGAGACAGAAAGAGGGTGATTAGATTTTTAAACCCTGTCAATCATTAACTCATGCTAGTAAAACGCCTTCCAAGGTGTCCTGTCGCACAATGATTAAACTGTGGTACTGAAGTCAAGTCTCTGCTCTCAACCTGAGTTTGTTCTTAAGGGGTTCAGGTAGCCGACTCAAGTCTGACTCAGCCTTCCATCCTTCCAAGGTTGGTTATATGAATCCCCAGCTTGCTGGTGGGTGAAGTGTTGCTTGAATAATTTGTTGTAAACTGCCCAAGATGTGCTCTAGCACTATGAAGTGGTATACAGGGCAAAGCAATAATAATAACATGGGGATACAAGTACACCCACAGCTGAATAGGTAGCAGAGTACAAAATATGAATTCTTTTCCAAATTAGCTTTATCTGAACTATCCTTTGTCACTGCTTCATCCTTCCTTGTTCTTTCTGTCCTTCTCTTGCGATGCTGATCCATCAACTACCTCATATTCATCTTTAACTCATGCCAATTCAAGACAAGGGTCAGCTGACCCAGTAAGCTAAGATTTGTTTAAGCTTCCTTTTATTTAATTCTCTCTTTTGTGTTTCTTCCTATCCATGTCTAGTTGAACATAATCAATTAGAATTAAGTTATTAACAAAATAGCTTTGTCCAAACAGCTCAAACTTCCTGCTACTTTGAATTCTATTTTATTTTTAAAAACCTAAGGATGGGAGAGCACCTTACCCTGCATCCGAGCTGTTGCCACAAAGCAAAGCATCATTTTGTCCTTCCAAAAAATAAAAATGACCTATGTGGAAAAAAAGTTTTCAAGATATTAAAAATGCACAATTTAATAATGAAATAATAACATTTTTTTTTGCTTAAGAATGGCATTCCTGCAATTCCACAATTTTACCAATAACTCTAAAGCAAGAGGCAACAGAGCGGCAATAGCACTGGGTTATCCTGACAAACTATACAGACAGAGGGAACACAGGGAAAGAACAAATAAAAGAGACACCACGGAAACTTAACTGGATATTAAAGAGGCCCCTATATTGCAAAAGCATTGTGTTTTCTTTAGATCATTGCAAATAATATCACTATTGGAGATGGGCATGAATCAGAAAAATTGTGATTTGTTCTGATTCATGATTTGTCAAGGTTGACGAATCAAGAATTACAAATTCATGAATGCACAGAAAACCTTCTACTGACTCTCCTCTACAATCCCTCCAAGTTTGCTGAAGATTGGAATTCAGACATCCAAGCTACATATACACTCACAAAGTGGGTTCCCCCAGGAAAGTGCTCTTTAGCAGCTGGTTTGGGGAAACCCAGTCCTCACCAAACTGGGAGACTTTGTAGAAGAGATTTATGGAAAGCTTTTCTGTGATTTTGGTGTCTGTAGGTGCCTGAGGGAAACTTCCCTGGGGAAAGGCTCTTTGTAGGTGTATAACTGGATACGGAGTAGCCTGGTAACAATGTTCATTCATTCTTACATACATACATACCTCACCTTTCTCCTTAAAAGGACCAAAGGCAGCTTAGCTTATTAAAAGACAATATTATTTTAATATAATCTCAGCACAGGAAGAGGCCAAGCTATAGGTACCTGAGGGAAACTTCCCTGGGGAGAGGCTCTTTGTAGGTGTATAACTGGATACGGAGTAGCCTGGTAACAATGTTCATTCATTCTTACATACATACATACCTCACCTTTCTCCTTAAAAGGACCAAAGGCAGCTTAGCTTATTAAAAGACAATATTATTTTAATATAATCTCAGCACAGGAAGAGGCCAAGCTAACTCCTTATAATCAACTGGGTATCAACACAATTATTTCATCTTACTGGTGCATAAGGATTAAATATAGTAATGAATTATATAAGAAAAACACTCCCAAACTGAGTCTTGGAGAATCATATTTCTTTAGGGATGTTTTAAATCCCCCAGCAAGCTTACTCCATGTCACAGATCACAAATTTGTCACTTATGTGTTCTTATAACATATCAACACAAAACATTTTATTTCCTAAGGTGAAGAACAATATATCTCCCCTTCCCCAATCCATGTACAAAAGCTTGATTGGGCCGGTAGTTTAATTTTATTTTAACACACTGATGCCTGGGCAACACCTTCCTTTCCAGGAGGGTGGTCAGCTAGCATAGGGCATCTAAGCTGATTGATATGCTAATCGTAAAGTGGGAAATTAATGCCCTTCTTTCTATGTAGTATGATGAATGATCAAAGATCAAGCTCCCTTAAACAAACAAAAAAATCATTTTTCCTATAGAAATTTAATTGTGATCTCTAAAATGCTGGATGCAACTATATGAAGGCTTGGTTTTTGTGTGGGGGGGGTTGAATTTGTTTTGAGGCTAAATGATTCATCCTAATCAAAGCAAGGATGCTGTATTCATGATACATCGGCTGTGTCATCCTGTCCTCTCCACTCTCCTTGTCTCCTTGGAAGTTTGAGGTACACTGAAATAGACACAAATCCAAACATAACTATGACGAGAAGTACTCTGGTAAAACAGAGCCAAGAACATTTATATGCTCTTTCTGAATTTGGTCAGGTGGCTGGAAGTAGACAATATTTAGATAGCTGAAAACAGAAACTGGAAGATGAAGTAAGGAAAGAGAATATATGTGCTCATGGCACAGACCTGTCTTTGTGGAACCATAATGAAAAAGAAAGTGGAGATATGCACTTGCCATATTACTCAACTTGGGCCTCAATTGGGTAGTGCAGAAAACAGCCTAAGTGGGCTTAATATATTTGGAGGTTCATTTGACTCAAGCCCAAATCTGATTTCAGAAAGCTGTAGGTTTTTGTCATCGTTTAGTCGTTTAGTCGTGTCCGACTCTTCGTGACCCCATGAACCAGAGCCCTCCTATCTTCCACTGCCTCCCAGAGTTGTGTCATATTCATGTTGGTTGCTTTGCAGACACTGTCCAGCCATCTCGGCCGTCCCGTTCTCCTCTTGCCGTCACACTTTCCTAACATCAAGGTCTTTTCCAAGGAGTCTTCTCTTCTCATGAGATGGCCAAAGTACTGCAGCCTCAGCTTCAGGATCTGTCCTTCCAGTGAGCACTCAGGGTTATTTCCTTTAGAATTGATAGGTTTGTTCTCCTTGCAGTCCAGGGGACTCTCAAGAGCCTCCTCCAGCA